TACTTCCAGGACGGCGTCACGGAGAAGGTGAGACGCGCGATGCCCGCTCGACTGATGCCGCGCACGACGTCACATGGTTGTCATTATTTAATCTCGGGTGCCTGATAATTAATTCCTTGTCGCCGGCGTCAGCTACACCTGTTTGAGTTTACCACTCTGCAAGACCTTCAGATCTTCATGAAGCAGTACCTTTACCTGGTGCGTACCTTGTGGTCGAATTCGGCGTCAGCCCGCCCGTTGCCGGCGGCTGTAGCCCAGATTCTGACCCATGACCCTTTGACTCTGCCTCAGTTCACCGACGACCCCGGTCCTGGCACGCTGCTGCTGCTCTACGCCGCCGTCCTCACCAGGGGCTGCGACAAGTGAGTCCACCACGAGGCGGCCGCGTTAAGGATCGTCTAGAAAGTACGTCCGCCTCTCTCCGATTAGTTCATGGAACGAGAGCTCGGCGCCTGTGAGACTCAGGGTAGGCCAGCCCGCAGTGCACGCATACACGGCAGGCGAGATGTTGCCTACCCATCAGGCGCTATGAACGCGTGCTTCGACTGATTCGTAAAGGCGAATGACGAACGTACCTTCTAGATTATCCCTTACCACCCCCCGGCGAGTCCCCGCCCCCAGCCGCATCCTCTCTGCTCACAGGGTGCAGGTGGACCTGGAGGACGAGAAGGCCTGCCTGGTGACCACGGCGGAGGAGGGCCCGCAGACCATCGTGACCCTGCTGCTTGTGGGCCGCGCTACGCCATACCTCCACAACGGCATCGTCTACGTGGGCGACGAGGACCACTACGTGAGTGTCCCGCAGTGCATCGCACCCCGCGCTCGGAGAGAACGATCCTTCGAAATATCACATACTGGACCGTCATCTTCACGGACGTCGCAGTCAAAGAACATTGAAGTTTAACGTTAAATTCCTCTCAAGGTTTGACGTTGAGTCAAAGTTCATCAAACTTCACGAAAGTCCAAGAGCAAAACAAAAATCAACAAAAAAAAACTAAAGCTCAAGATATTTTTCAAGCGTGCCTTTTCACGTGCTGTCTTCATGCCCACTCGTCCCCGCAGGCCATGCCGCAGTACGGCGTGCTCAACCGGTCGGACGTGGGCTTCCTTGTGTGGGACGACACCAACGACAGCGAGCTCCAGGAGTCGTCCCGGCAGCCCGGGTCGCGCCTCAAGACGCCGTCTCTGCCCGTCTGGGTCGTGGGCTGCAGCGGCCACTACGGCGTCATCTTCAACACGAACCGCGAGCTGCTGAGAAACTACCACGCCGAGCGCAGGTGTGTAAAATTTATGTTATTCACCAAAGAATATAAATCTCTGTAAACTTTGTGAACCGGCACCTGTATTACGTGGCCAGATGATCGGCCAGCAGAACATTTCGTCGTCTTATTGGCATTGGCGCACAATGCAAAGTGAGTGCATTTGCTCGCGGTGTCTCAGGTTCGAGCTGCTGTACTACACGGCGGGCGCGGGCCAGTGGAGCCTGACCGTCGACACGCGCTTCAACGAGGCCGGCGAGTCCGCGCCCAGCAAGTCCAGCTCCTCGCGCCCCAAGGATGACTTCACCACCACGGCACAAGCGCTGTGCCTGGAGAAGGTCATCCATACCAAGTGAGTCGCGCTGTGTGCGCAGATCGCTCTTGGTGCCAAAAAGTGTCTGTCCCAAGCAAAACGTTGAACTATTTCTATCTTCATCTGTTCAGCGTAATACCGTTCTGGTATAATACAATTTTCTTCGAGGGTCGGTGCTTACAAAGCTAACGTTTGGCGTTCCGTTTTTCAGATGGCAGGACGCCCACGTGACCTGGAATAGTATGATTCCGGGAGTCTGAGACCATTATTTTAAAACAACTACCACGAACTGCCACATACGTGAAGGTTTCCTTGAATTTAGTTAAAAAACATGTGATCTATAGTAAAATTTAGATGTCAACATCTTTTAGTATAAGACCGGGGAAAATGTCAGAGCAGGAGAAGAATCGTGCGTACACCCAATTCCAGTGAGTGATTACAAAACCCTCCTCTTACGTTAGGGAGACAATTTGTCGTAGTTAAAACAAAACTGTTGCATGTGTCTCTTTTTTAAGACAGGATAAGTAACTGGGTGTTCGATTCCCCTTTTGCTTTGTATTTGCATTGCAGGTACACTTACCTGTTCAATGAAAAGTGACAGTCACATAAATTAAAACCACTTTAGTTTTTAAGTAGACGTCTCTGTCTAGATTTAAAAGAGTCGCAAGCAACAAATTTGTTGCTGTACAATACAGGATGTCCTATAGAACCCGTACTATAGGATATAACCGGGTTGCCTTCTGTCTCGGTGCCATAAAGGGGCCACGATGAGCGACGGCAAGGAAGCGCGCCTGCACTCACGCGCCTGCGGTATACTAACCAACAATTAGTGCGGGACCGATCAGACACTCTGTACATCGAGCCCTGGCGATGTTCAAGATAACCGTGCGCTCACTTACCTATACTGGGATTTTAACTCAGTTATATGTTTTCAGCAACAGATTTACTGATTCATTTGTATACAAATTAAACTAACCGTTACTTTGCTCTGTCTGTTTTTTGTTAGTAATTTTCTGATAAAAGAGAAGAAATCATTGTCAGAAATATTAAAAAGATTTGTTGCATGTTACTGATGAAAAAAGTCGTCAAGTAACTTATTTAGGTTTACAGGAACACTGACAAAGGGGAAGAAATTAGCAAAATAATGAGACTGTGGCTACACAATGATCTATGACCTCATCGTTCTCAACACACTGTGAGGTGTGAGGGCGACAGGGTGGTCGCTGCGCCCTACTATTCTCAGGAAGACGTGCGTGCAGGCTGAAGGTTGCCTTCTCGCACGGGGCACTGTGGGGCTGTCGTTGGTTAAAACATGCTGGCGAAGGGTCCGTGTGCTTCCCACCATACGATCCAGCAGGAGTGCAAATACGGTAATGAAAATTTTGTGTAAATCCTGCTTCTTCCGATGTGTCAGTCTCTGTGTGAAGTAGGGGACAGAGGGGTCGCATTTTGCTTAAAGTGTGAATGGGGAACATAGTTATTGTAGGGTATTGTAATTAATGCAAAATAATTTAGTATCTATCAGATTTATTTGACGAAGTACAAAAAAGCAAACATTACAGCAGAAATGCATATGCATAAATAGCTAAAAATGTATTATATCAATAACTTAAAAGAAAAAAAAATGATTGACAACTTAAGCTGTGTCAGTAAAGATGAGTACTATTTTTATGAATGAATGAAAATAATATGAATGAAATAAATTATTGGTGCTTTGAATTTATGGGTTTTCTCATTCAGACTTTTCTTTTTCAGACAAAAACATTGAATTTTAGAGAGTCAAATTACCACTTCCATCAACTCTTATTTTACCCGTATGTTATTTAAATACAGTCATTCTTCACAAACATTACAAAAACCATTCACCCAAATAACATGGAATAGATTTGGTGAAGGAAAGTGACTTTGGCTAGAAATCTCCTAGACATCTTTTAAATCAAAACTGCCCGGTGCAAACTAGACAAAACCTATAGACAACATGTCATTTTATAGACTTTTCAGTTCGGGCGTACATTCACGCTGAGAGCCACACCACACCACACAATCACTCACATACTGTAGGAACAACGAAGGACGTGCTGGGTTCACACTGACAGGGTAAGGGGTCGCCATGTCGGCGTATCACAGTGTACGGGGGTCCTGCGGCGGGCCAGGCCAGCCCCCTGCGGATGGGTAGACTGCCTAACCGGCGAGCGGGGGGGCTTTGCTAGACGCTACCCCGCGCGGGGTGCGTCCGAACACGAACACTTCGGTCTGCCCGTCGCCTGGCAGGGACACCCCCGGGCGCCTCGGCCGCAGCCCGCGGCGCTACCCGCCGTCGTCCACCACGTCCCGGGGTATCCCCGGCCGGCCTTTAAGCGCTCTAGGAGCTTGGTGACCACCGGGGTCGCCTCAGCGGGGCGCTCAGTCGAAGTGGAAGGTGCGCTTGCAGATGGGGCAGATATCGGAGCTGCCGAGGCAGCGGCGCAGGCAGTCGCCGTGGAACAGGTGGTGGCAGGGCGTGACGCGCGCGCTGCGCATGGGCGCCAGGCACACGGCGCACACGTCGTCGTCGTGCTGGGCGAGCTCCTCGGCCGAGGCGTGGCGGTAGCGCTCCAGCACGGCGCGCTCGGCCTGCAGCGCCCGCAGCGGGCCCTGGCTGAGCTCGCGCCAGCGCACCCAGCCGCAGCAGTAGAGCGCGCTCACCGCCACCCGGTACTGGCCGCGCAGCAGCAGCGGCAGCGACAGCGCCACGGCCATCGCCATGCACAGCGCGCGCTGCAGCACGGGCGCCCACAGCGCCTCCAGCGCCTCCAGCCGCTCCAGGCGCAGCAGCGTCAGCAGCGCGGGGAACAGGTCCGCGAACACCTGCAATGCAGTCGGGCGGCTTACACCAAATACAAGGAAACCGTGCAATTTTGACTGTAATTTCACCGTCTGCCGCATTTCGCAAGTAATCTTAGTTATGGGTGCCGTTGTCACCACCACAACACCAACGGAACGCACCTTCTCGGTGGCCATGTAGTACAGCCAGGTGAGGGCGGTGTAGGCGCCGTTGGGGTGGTAGTGCTCCAGGCCGCGCTCCAGCCCGAACACGAGCAGCATGAAGACCACCGTGATGATGAAGGTGACGGCCTTGGTCCACTCGAGCACGAGGCGGGTGGCCGTCATGGCGAGGTGCTTGACGCGCGAGTGGTCCGCCACGGGCACGGTGAGCGACCAGTCCTCCTTGGCGATGAGCTCGCGCACGTAGGAGGCGCAGTAGGCCGCCACGTTGTAGAACATGAGCGAGTACAGGCAGGCGACGCGCTGCCCGGGCACCAGCGTGCGCTCGCACACCATGAAGAACAGGCACTGCAACACACACGAGCCAGCCACGCATTCAAACCCTCCCGCCGAAACGACCAAGCGCGCCCCCTGTGCCCGGCCTGGGCCTGCCGACGTGGAGCCTCGATCTGTGTTAATCGGACACGTCGCCAAGATGGCGTGGCAGCCTCCCAAGCTTGCCGCGGCAGGCCTGCGGGCGGCCCGAGCGGCGCTCCACCCGCACATCGCCGCTCTTATTTTTAGTGTGTGTCACGCGATTTGAGGTGTACAGCGACAGCACCCCTAATGACTGTCAAACGGTGTCGCAACGCCATCGATAATGCGGCATCATTACAACTGTCTTTGGCGTGTCGTTTTAGCATCGTTATGATTCGCTGCTCAATGAGCCCGGCGTTACGTACCTGGTTGAGCATGGTGAAGAGGTTGTTCATGCCGATTAGGACCGTCTCCATGCGCTGCAGCGGGCCGTACAGGCGGCGCAGAAAGCGCGCGGAGGGCGCCAGCAGCGCTGCGGGCGCACAAACACTCGATCAGCAACCAACGGCGACTTCAAAATGCAACAGCTCATTTTTTGGTTTTTCTTGTATACTTTAGTTAAGGCTTAAAAGTCTTTCGAGTAGAACTTTAAGTTGATTCCCAGTGCGTAAAATCATGTTTGCCTAATGCTATAGTTATTTGCGTGAAAACGTGTCTCTCCTTCAGCCAGAGAGATCATTGTCTTCACACGCTATTTTCCTTTTCCTATTTGTATCTCGACTTCCCAAACCCTTCCTCGCGGGACACTCACTGCAGACGTAGTCGCGCAGGTCGTCGGCGCTCTGGTGCTGCACGTGCACGAGGACGGGCAGCACGAGGCAGGAGTAGGCGAGGGCCAGCATGATGGAGACGGGTCCGCGCGACAGATAGGGCAGCAGCAGCAGCACCACCGTCACCAGGCACACTGCGGGCAGGGCGTATAGAGCACGAGCGTGAGCGGGCGGGGCGTTTTTGGCGGGGCCCAACCAGCGCGCCAACAAAGCGCGCCCCTCTTATTTTTAAACGAGAAAATACTCGAAGTTGCTCGTCTTTTAGGCCCCTTCGTCTCAAGGGCCGTGTTTCCCACGTGGCGTGGCAGAGAGTTTGGTCAGTCTGTCGAGTAGTTATCGAAACAAACAGTTCGGCAAAATGTCGAACTACTCGTCGGAGCAGTCGTGACAGAAGATCCGATACCCGTTTCCAGATCGTTTTAGTCGTCTTACAAGATACAAGCTTGATACAATAAGCTTCTCTGTGATTTAAGACATGCGCAGGGCACTAGAGCACACAAAGCCGTCTTGAGAGCCTACCTGACTGGTAGGTGTCGTCCTGTAGGCGCGCTGGGTCCGGCTTGTTGGTCACGGTGTGGATGCTCTGCAGGCGGGCGCGCACCCGCGCTATCATCCCCATCTGCAACACAGCATGCCAGTCGCTCGCTTAGATAGAATCGACAGGATGAAATGGGGGAAGGGGGTCATCGCCATCTGTACACGCTTAATGTATCTGTATGTCTTTGTGCAAATGTTCGCGTTAACTTAGATCTACGTTTCGTTTGGTACGAATTTCTGCGCAAAAATGTATGATTTCGAGCAAAGAATTGCATAAGAAAAAAAGTCAAATTAACGCGGTTAGCGTGTGCACTGGAACGCAAGTGCGTGAATGACGCACACTTGTATAGGTGTGTGAATGCCCATTCATACACTTCAGTCAGGGAGTGAAGGTGTGAATTTTCCTTTAAAAAACTTCACACACTTTTTGCCTCACTGTGTACGAATGGTGTTCACACACTTACAAGAGTGCGTCATTCACATTCTTGGGTTTTCGGTGTAGAGTGCTCCCTCTTTAAGTTCGCTTCTCCTCAACGCCCCTGGTTTGGAAAGGACCCTTCGTAAGTTGCTGCTGTCAGCCTGGCCTAAAGAGGTGCCTATGTGCAACAAACAGCTTCTTGAGGTTGTCACGCAGAGCGTTCCCCTCCCGCGGGCACCGGGCTGCGGGTTCACAGACTGCCCTCCCATATCCGCCCTCTCCACCGCGAGCGAGACCACCTCGCCGCGCGCTGACCTGGCGAACCTTGTCGTTGACGGGTACGACAGACAGACGAATATTAAAAAATAAAAAACAACACGGAAGAGCTGGCAGGAGGTGGGGGCGAAGAGGGGGGGGGGGCTGCTCGCAAACACGGCCGCGTCGGCAAGACAGGTCCTCCACCTCGCTCTCGGGGAGCGGGAACGAAAGACTTGAAGGAAAAAAACACCCGTCATGAAGCGGTAGGAGGGGGGGAGACGCCGCCCATCACATGAAGGGCCTATTTTTACTTGCGCGCCGCCGCGCGTCACGTCCTGTGGCGTGGTGGCGGCCGCCGCGCCGCCGCCGCGCGGTCACTGCTGTCGCGTTGACCCCCTCGGCGCCGT